ACATCCTTAAAAAGCCAATAAGTTTAGATGTTATCTTAGTTTAGATAACATGATGATTCTTATTGGGAGCATGTGAGTTATTCTTGGCAATACAGAGAGGATTTTTAAAAGGCTGAGAAACATTGTTTTCAAAGATAACTGTGCCCACAGCCTACCGTTTTCTACTTTGCAGTGATTCCAGTTTTGAAGAAATCTCGTATGACTTTCAGTCAGGTATATTGTCATTCCATCTTTGTTTATTTTGGCTGATCAAAGAAATCCATTCCTAAATATTAACCAGTTGAGAGAACTGGCCATAACTGTCTTATTAACCAAGTTCCCCCATCTTTGCAACCCCCATCCAGATCTATGTACAGTTCTTCTAGGTTGTTTGATGTGGTTCTCACCTCCTCTCTGAGCTCATACTGATCGATGATGCTTTTCAGTTTCTCTGCAAGCTCTGTGTTCTCCTGACAGAGCTTCATATTTCGCTCACTCTGCTGCTCAATTTGTGCCTGGATGTCTGTCAGGGTGCTCTGAAAATGACTCGTGATCTCCTTCCTTTTCTCTTCTTCCTCGCGTGCCCGCTGAAGTGTCTCCTCCTGCGGATAAAAAGCAAAATATTTTGTTATGCTGGTTTAAATGCGTCCCAGGCTTATTCAGGACTAGGTCACCGAAAGGAGACTGGTGTGCAGAGTGAGATTTTTTTTTTCTCTCTAGAACTAAAGTTGCTCAGCCCCCAAATAAGTGTATGAGCAAAGATTTCAGCTGTGAGTACACAGTCACTCAGAGCTGACGCTGTGAGGGCCTTGAATCTGATAGTTAGTGACGAATAGGCTTGTTTTAAAGATGACGAGTCTCCTGCTGAGTGAATGAACTGCAGCGATTTCTAGCAAATGCACAGTCACATGGTTTTGATCCCTTGGCTGTGGCCTGGAAAAAAGGTCACTTGGTTTTACTGATTGATGAGACAGATCATGTGTTCCTTTGGTTTGGTACAGGAAGAAGAACAATAGGTCTTATATTCCTCTATAAATACCATGGCTTATTAAGTACATAATTGTATTACCCAAGTTTTGTAAATATAAGTGATCACAATATAAACTTTCTCTTAATATGAAAAATCTTTCATCAAAAAGCTTAAAAAAAGAAACTAAGATAGCTGTAGATCAATTACAGTCATTCAAAAATATCAAAGGACATATTTCCAAATATCCTGGATATTTGGTTTCTGAAAGAACAATCATTACATGTGTCACATAGGGCAATTAAAATATTTGGCATAAATGTTGAATCTGAAAGCAACATTAAGTTTCAAATCTTCTTTAACTCTAAAATGAAACATCTAATTCCTCCTTCCTCTTCTGCTTTGTTAACATTGAAAAATTGGAAATTAACTTTTGTATAACTTCTTTTCTCTTTTTTCCTAAATCAAAACTCTCTATTCATTTCCTAACCACTAACAATGTGCTCAGATTTCCTCCATATCTATATTGAGAATTGCCTTGTGAATGTTCCTCTCATTCTTTTAGAATAAAGGACTTAATCTTGCTGCATCCTACCAAAGATAGAGATATTTATACTGCTGACAAATGATACAGACATTTTAGGATTCTTTTGAGTTCTGATTAATTGTTAATATGAAAGCTTGCTTTATTATTGACAAGTAAAATTATACTGCATTCAATTGCCTATCAAGTTTGAATTATATAGCAGAATTTTTTTTAAAAGAAATAATAATTTTAACAGAAGTAATTGTGCAAATCTTTATTATGAGAAAATAATGTGATCAAAATAAAAACTGATGCTGAAAATATATGCCCTGGAAATATTTTAATTTATCATTGGATTTCTTCTTTCCTCTTCAATATTAACATATTTCCTAACTCTTATATGACTTCCTCTATCAGAATCATAATTTAATTATGTGATAAACTTTTACTGAGCAGCATCCTCTCAGGTATATTAAAGATATCTGTACTTCCTAATCTGAAGGAATTAACTATCTGAGATGCTGTTTCCCTGAACTTTGTATACTAACACTTACTATATGTATTTCACTAAAAGCAATTATTGGCATCCATTATGAGCAACTAAATCTACAGATAATAGTGACTGTCTCTTCATTTTCCTAATTAGCTTAGAAGTCAGCAAGTTTGGAATCATAGAAATTCAGACCACTATATGAATTCTGTTTATATTTATAAATATTCCATGAATAAATGAATAAACCACCCCATGCTACCCAGCAAGGCTGAGATTTTCCACTGCGAGTTGTCCACATGTTAACCCATCATAACACCCAATCCTGGCCCACAAAAATGGCATCTTGCATTTCATATTATATTGTTTTTCAATGAGACAAAAATAAACCTGGCAGAATCTTATAAAATTTGAGCCCATTGATAAAGAACTTGCAATCATTTGGACAGTGTCTGAGATAAAAGTCTCTTTCTTTTTTTAAGCACATTATACAAAGTGAAAATTAATAGTGTAAATAAGATTTGAGGGAAGTCTGAAATAACTAAGAAGAAAACTTTGCACGCGTCATTGTGCATCTGAGAACTGGCGCTCTGCCTGGCACATAATCCATAGGTATTTGGTAAATGTTTATTTAATGAATCAATGAATTATTAATTTATGTACTGATATATGAGTAGCTTGGACTAAATGATTGCTATAGTCCTTTCCACATTAAAATTCTGTGGTATTCTGATAACAAATGCTACTTGCTCCTGTAGGAAAATCATGTTTCCTGAGATAACCATCTCTTACTAGGCAGTTCTTTTTCAGTATCATTTGAGGCTCAGATTTTTTGTTTCAAATATATATACTATTTTGTTGAAAGAAGCCCATGTCTCAGACATGGTTTTCTCAATTATTTTAAATTGTGAGGTTGTGTGAGTGTGTGTATGTGTTTGGCTCAGTGAAGAAGCAATTTTAATAAAGAATAGTAAAAGTTAAAATGTATGGTGGTGAAATGACCTGGTTACACATTTTCTTTCTATATCTTCCAAAGCTCCTCGCACACAGATTTTTGGCTTCAGATATACATAACCTATTTCACTAGTATGACTAAGAAAGTGCATGTTAAGTTGAACTTTCTGCAGATAACAACTATAAACTGGGTAGAATGCAAGAAAGAATGACTTTATTTTTTTTTTTTGAATTGGAGTCTCACTCTATAGCCCAGACTGGAGTGAAGTGGCTG